TTTTTTTTTTTTTTTTTTTTCGATACTTCGCAATTAGTTTCCGACATCTTTACAATTATTAAAATGTTTCACAGATTTGAAAATGCTTCTCCTCTTTCTTAGTTGATGAATGCAACAACATACCTGGCGCACAGACGCCGCAGTCGTCTCCTGGGAAACCTTTCACACCCTTTGGCCCTGGTATACCGGGCCATCCGTCGGGTCCAGGAAGTCCCGGTAATCCTGGCAGACCACGTTCGCCCTGAGGGCCTCCGATCCTACTTCCTTTCCCTGGGAAACCTTTCGGACCTGATCAATCGAAAACATGTAAATAAATTAATATTAACGATGGAATTGAATCAACGTCAAATGGTATTTTTACCCGTTGAGCTTCCCGATAATAAATCTTTGATTATTAAATAATCATTGATTAATAAATAACAATGACAGGAGAATAAGAAATAAATAAATAATAATAATAGTAAAAACAATACATTTTTAATAAGAAATCAGATTTTTATTAATTGACATTTCGACAGTCTGTTGATCAATAACCCGGACCAATCAACGGTTTTTCCAATAGCGTTTTCCAACGTATAAAAGATGAGAAAGAGCACCTTGAGGGCCAGGATCACCGCGATCTCCAGGTAATCCAGGGATGCCAGGGTATCCAGGTTTCCCATCGATGCCTGGTGGGCCGCTTATCGATATTCCGGGCAAGCCTTTTGGACCAACGGAGCCGGATATGCCCGGCAAACCTGGTGGACCTTGCGAGCCCATCTCTCCGGTAAGACCTTGAGAAGAAAGAAAAAAAAAAAAAAAAAAAAAAAAGGAAAGAAGAAATTCAACGGAAACTCATATTTCAGATCCGTCGGTTTAATAGGCGAAGTCTCCCGTAGGATATCGTATCGTCGAATACGAACCGTCTTGCCCTGGCTCTCCTTTGATCGAAGATCCTTTCAATCCTGCCAATCCAGGAAGCCCGGATGGCCCTGGAGGACCAGGCGGCCCGATGTAACCTACTTTGCCAGGTAAACCTGGCACTCCTGGTTCTCCTGGGTTACCAGGCGGACCTAATCGCAATAAACGATACTGTTGCAATGAGATTCTTTCTTCCAGTGGATCAACAAAACGCGAAGAAGTAATAAAATAACGTCGCGAGATATAATTCAAGATATTCAAGGGTGTTGTGATGTTATTCGGATGATCTTGGAACGTAATAGTCGCATTTAAATTTTCAAATGGAATCCTACAATTTTTGTGTATCTTCGTATATTCGGACGTTTGCAAAATATTACTAAATTTTGCCATTTTTTTTTTTTTTTTTTTTCGAAATAAGTTGTTACGAGTCTCCAAATTTGCATATAATGTAATACAGATAGTACGACATAATATTATAATATCGAATATAACGAGTTTACTTTGAAAACGTTTGAACATCAGACAGAAGAATACGTAATAAGAGAATGTCGATTCCCATGGAAAAACCTGAAGACGAAACGAATGGCATCGTAACCTTCAATATCCCACAACTTTTATGGTTTCTATTTTTCTGGTACTATCTGTATCTCTTTTCGAGATCATTAAATATTCTTAATCGAAACAGACACACTGTACATATTTTGATAATTGTTAATTGTTGACAATTGAACAGGGTTGAGTCTATTTTTGCTGGCGTTTCATTTTTATTTTTGGAGACGAGCGCCGATAAACACAGACCTAAATCTCCTTGAATTCCAATATTCCCCTGAATTATCTCATCCAGTTCCGGTATATATTTTCCAGGCTCTCCCGCTGCTCCTTGTTTACCAGGCGGTCCTTGATTCCCCGCGTCGCCCAGCTCCCCCTGAATTTAAAATGCAAAGTATATCATACCGAACGTCTGTCAACTGATCGGAGAGCCGTCTAATTCGCTATAGTTATCCTATAGCGACGACAATTCTTATTATAAATTTGCACCGAGCTGGAAAACAGTGCAGCTTCGGTTCAATTCTAAAATTAATTCTGACGTTTGACCGTAGGTAGGTCCAAACAAAATATTTTCTTATTAATTTATCTGAAGCTATGGAAAAAAAAAAAGAAGAGAAAAACACGTACAGTTTGACGCAATGTTTTAGCTAAATTTCGCGAAATTTTATTTCAGAAAATAATTTCGACGTTTGACCAGTTCAGGACAAGGTACTTTCTCATTTATTTCAATTTATCTGAAGCTACGAAAAAAAAAAGAAAAAAAAGAACTCGTGTAGTTTGACGGAAAATTATAAGCTAAATTTTCGCGAAATTTTATTTCAGAAAATAAAGTGAAAGGGAGGTCTTACGGGAAAGCCATCGGGTCCTGGTTTCCCAGCGTAGCCTGGAGCTCCTTTCTCTCCCTTTTCACCCGCGGGTCCTGGCGGGCCTTCCACACCCTGTTTGCCTCTAGGTCCGTCGTCACCTTGCTCTCCTTTCATACCTTTAATACCGGAAAATCCTGGCCGACCCTGCGCGAAAATTTCACACGTACACACAAACAGCACCACGATAATCTATCGCGGAGATTAACTTTTAATTTCGCGACTCTCCGGATTCTCCTGGAGTCCGTTTTACCAAGAGAAAGAGACTTCCTCTCGACACAGTCGATTTACGCGCGAATCGATCGATAATCTTACCACAAACGAGATATATGAATAGACCTATACGTACAATGTATTTTTTGCATCCCCTTATCATTTTCGTGTCGCATCCTGCCGTACCGATTCAGGCAGGTTTTTTCACCGCAGCGCTACTAGTGCACGGGAATTAAAATCAAAAAAATATGGACAGTGTTGCCAGCTCTGTTCCGGGAATTATTTATTGAATTGAACGTGGCCAAAAAAAAAAAGCGGTTGATGAAAATTG